GGGCTATCTCCATCAAGGTCTCCTGAAATAAGGCCCCATATCATCAATTTACTGGTGAATTCTATTGCTGAAAACTTAAGCCTCAACGTATGTTCTATTGGCGGTGGTCCTGGATCAGATATCGTAGGTCTTCAGATGATGTTGAGGAATATGGGTCTAAGTTCGCTCTGTCACATACGAGGTTATGTTCTTGATCAGTTTCCTGAGTGGAGTAACATGTGGGAAAAAATAAGCTCACAGATGAATCAACCTCCACGTGTAAATTTCTTTAAGTATGATGTTGGAAACAACACACCCAATGTCTGTCACAGGTATGCTGTTAAACAGGCACGTCTGATAACTTTGGTGAAATTTATATCCGCAGTCCGTAAACAACAAGGTGCGTTCGAAGGAATGAGATCACTCTTAAGACATGCGTCACCGGGTGCGTATATGTTTTACGCGGATAATAAAGATGGTGGAGACAATGTATCATTTCTCCTAGGAATAGCGATCATGGCTGGATTTGAGCTTGTTCATTATTCACACAGTGAAGTATTTATAGAAAACAACCCATTATATTCGGCAATCATGAAGCTGTTGAACCACCAGCCCAAACGCTCTGTGAGGATGACGTATATGCTTTTTAGGAAGAAAATGTCGGCAAATTAGGAGGATTAATCAAGAAGACAATCTGGTATCTTCAGTATTTTTTATTCACTGTTAACGTTCATCAAACCTCACCCAGGGGCGGATCCACAGATGGCCCGAAATGGTACACTATGTGTAAAACGTTAAATGAATGAACACGAAACGTTAGCGGGTTACAGAATGAATGGACTACTGGGGAGGCTATTTTATTTATATATTTATATTTTGTAGCTTCAAGTAATAGAGCCTACGTATTTCCAAAACCATAATACATTGATACTGCTTTGTTAATAACATTGTGACTTTTGGGTGATTTATTTCGTGTTTGTGTCGGGGAAGCGGTGGGGTGTGTGTGGATTTGTAGGCCTAAATTATGAGTGGAATAACCTCCCGAATGACCTACGCTGGTGATTATGATATTGATGATGTTATTGGTAATTCTGATGGTGA